TTTTTCACTTATTTAGCCACTGCATAGCGCCCTCTGTTGATGAATTGATGAAACCTGCAAAATGTGCCCATTAAATATTTTAGCAAAAAAAATATATTTTATTAAAACAATTTGACCAGAAACATTTTTTTGCGCGCGGCCCAAGGAATGAAGTGTAGGAAACACCACGAGACATAGGGATGCTGGGAAGGCATATCCGCAAACATCTCCCCAGATGTCCCTTGTTGTTAGTCAGTACTAGGCAAGGTGAACATAATTTTCTCATCAACAAATCATTTGAATTCCGCCATATGTTGACACTGACCACGCATTGCTTTACGGCTTAAAATAACACCATGGATGTCATTCATTATTGTGGAAAATCCCCACCTGCAACGCCGTCGCTGATTGGCTTCTCGTGATGTCAGGCACCTGGCCGGTGTATAAATATGGTTATCAGCCTCACTTTGGAATGATCTGAAGTTGGGGTCGTTTTTTGTGGGAGGCACACCTTTACTGAACCACAGGGGACGGAGTTAGGGACTAACATAACTGACATAAACATCAATAATATTATAACTTGACACTTCGACGTTAGCTAACATCACAGTTCACGTAATGTTGAATTTTGTATTGGTAATTGTCTTTCAACTGAATTAAGACAGTAGTAATGATTACAGAGTGGCAACACAACCATAGAGATGTGTTATCCCATAATAAAGATGAATGGATGTCATTGTACTTCCGTATTCGAGTAATTATAAATTCTCATGAACCGTATTCAAAATTGTTTATTGAAGCTTTTTCAAAAACACAAAAATCGCATATAAAAACACCAATACGCTAATTACACAATGAACAATCGACAAGTTACATCACAAACCTTCAAACACACAACTGACAAATGTATAGTTCAGAAGGAAGAAACCAGATTATCGTACTCAAAATGGTAATCGTGCTTTTAGTTCCTGATTCAGTGAGATCGGCGACGCCATCTTGAGGGGAATGTTTGGTTAATTCTCATGTAGTTTATGAAAATGGTTTAATTGTTGACAAAGGTGTAGTCGAGTACATTTAGTTAGGGAAAACTTCAAAATGAAATTTCCTACCTTTCATATTCATTTCATAACATTTATGTGTCTGCTTTCTAAAAGTGAATAAGTAATTTGCATAAAGTAACGTCGTCAAATATGAGTTCAGACATTTTTGTTAACTACAAATCGTATTTTTTTAAATATGCAAGAAAATAAGAACATCTTTTTGTGAATTTGCATGTTATCAACTATTCACAAATGTTCGCCTTAGGTTAAACAAGCTATGGTCGTCTTTTTATGTAATTTGACATCACAAACTTTTGATTGCCGCTCAAATCAATAATACTTCAACCGATTGAATAGGTCCATTTCATGAATACAGGTCTGTAACATCGCAGCTTTAAATAAGTCACACCTGACGGACGTTCTAGGATAATAAATTGTAGTTCTCTCAAACTTCTTTTTCGCTAATTGGTCGTCTATTATTTTGATATTGAATAGCTTGTTGTGCTGTCTCACAGGAAATGTTGGTCACTTTATTAAAATCGCATTCAAAAGCGAAATCCTCTAAATCTTAATTATTATAGTCTGGTTGTAGATATTTAATTACTCCACACATACCCCATTGTATTAAGATTGCACGACGTGGGACTTTGCAAATTCTTCAATTTATACGCAGCAATGAATCTTTTTCGAAAAAAATACACAAATTGTTTTAAATCTTACAAAATATAAAAGCGCATAATTCACACTAATTACAAATCGATGTTCCTTCCATGTGGTCACGTGAGTGTTAAATAAATATTTTTTTTCCTTGAAAAACGTAGAATAAAATGAGAAACATAACAGTCACAAAAATGTTTGCACAACTCTTTTATTTGTCTTTTTTTTAAAGTTTCACGAGCACATATTGTTCATTTTTACATTCAGAAAGTGAATGTGTACATTTAACATAAATCCCTGACATTGGCCATATATTTACCATATCTATAATATCTGGAAAACGACGAAGACATTTGATGGGTGCTTGGTACTCATGTTTTGATGTAGTGGAGTCACTCCCTTCGATCATCCAAATCTTCTGTAACCAATGATTTGACATCGAGCAAAATAACTGGTGAATACCTAAAATGCTCATACTTTACTCTGTGACTTATTTTTATTTAAAATACATTGAAATATATGCACATTAGGCCATCATAGTAATGTTAATTTTGACCACTGTTCTGTGTATGTTCCATTAATGACAGATCTCTGAATAATTAGATACAGCTATGTATTCCACTTTGATTAACATGCGTTACAAAAACTTAACTAGATCCTTAAAGAGACTAAAGGAATGACAATTTTTAACAATCATCTGTGATTCCAACGCTCCATAAAAGTTACTTGAATATGTAAATGTACGTAGTATACAATGGTATACAGTCAATTGTTTTGTGTTCTTGTACTTGTACATTCTTCTATACGACTTTTATTCAAATGTATGTGGTTGGATATGTTATTTACACTTTACTGAGCATGCTACTATAGCAATCTATACACCATCTAAAAGCTTGGATATAGCAGAATACAGTAGTTCATATGATGAACCTATTACATTACTTACAG